AGCTTGATTGTTTTCATTAGCAATAGCAATAGCACTTACACTTAAATATTGCTTCATAGTGCTTTACAGTCCTCTCTCGGGAATTTACAGAATCAGCATATTGCCCCCAACAATCTGGGTCATCATTTAACTGACTTTGGAAGGATGGGAGGCTGAGCCAACCTTGAGCCAGTCGTGATCAAACTCCTGGCAGTGGGCAGAGTCAGCCTGCAATACTGCATTCTAACCACTGCGCCACCACAGTTCTTTTCATTACCCAAACTACTGTAGGTAATACCATCAGTGCTAGTAAGGAGTGGGGTTTGCTCTCAATTTATATTCTAGGGGCTTGGTAGGGGTAGTCTTTGAGGTTCTTTGGTTGGGCTAATGATTTTTTGGCAGTTCCTTGATTGTTGATCTGATGTTAATCTTGGTGTTAATCTATGCTTATCTGTGTGTTAATTGCTAATGCGGTGTTTGGGTCTTTTTGTTCCCTTTTTGGCTTGTTGATTGTCTCTTTTACACAGTATGTAGATATTGTTTATGTCTACGTGTCTATTGATGGGCAATATGTAAGAGTGCCAGCCTTCCAGGAATATCTTTTTCATAGCCTTCCTGGCACTGTACCAAGTGCTGGTCTGTGGCTTATTTCTCGACTGTTCCTTTACTGTTGATGATTGATTCTAAAAGAAAGAACTACCCACCACTTTGATATATTCATGGGTAATTCTAAGGCTGATTGTTCTATTGTTCATTTTTCACTGCGGTTATTCATTTTTATTTTGTATTTCTGAACCACCTGCCTCATTCTAAGAGTGATTAGTTTGGTTTTAAATGTAACCTCCCCCCCCCTTTTTTTTTAACTGTGCTCCTTGACTTTTATTACTAGAGCTTGCAGGACATTTCCATTTTTGGCTATCAAAGTAGTGTCACCAGCGTTGCTTAGGTTTCTTCTTCCAATTTTAAAGCCACGCTCTCTTCTTCACATCTACCTTCCTTTATTCAGCATATAGTATAAGTAAATGAGGGGAGAATATGCAGCCTTGTCACACTCCTTTGCCAACCTGGAGGCAATCTGTTTCACCAGGTTCTGCCCTGACCTGTATGAAAAGGTGCATAATATTAAAGGCAAACAAAAGAATTTTGGCATCTAAAACAGAAAATCCCATAAGCCAAGGGTCCCCAACCCCTGGGCCACGGACCACTACCGGGCCACAGCCCATTGGGAACCGGGCTGCTGAAGCAATGGGCGAGCCTGCAAAGCTTCATTTGCACATTACGGGGTTTAGGTTGCATGTGCGAAACCATTTTCCCCCCTGCCACCGAAACCACCAAAGCCGTTCATGGTGCTGATGGTCTGTGGAATCAAAAGGTTGGGGACCCATGCCATAAGCATTTCCCCATCAGTAGAAACAGAATAATATACTAAGGAATAACATAATTATCTTTTTTATACCTATGGAGCTAAATGTTGCTCAGTAGCAATTTCTGCTAGAAGTACTTGACTCTAATGCTTAGATTATCATCTTGAATTGCTATTCATGGACATTCTCATAAACAACATTAACCAGATTTTTTTTAAAATACTGTACACTGTACACTTTACACTTTTTAAGTGTAAATTAATAAAAACAATAAATAAAATGTTACATGTAAATAAACAAAATGTTACAGCAGTAACAATAATTTTTAGGTCAAGGTTATTAAATATCTGAAGTTTGAAATGTTCAAATACCTTTTGCCAAATAACATGATAAACAAAACAAAGTTGGGCAGAGAAATTAAAAAAAAGATTTTAAAAGATACATGGCAGGAATCTGCAGATATACAAAAGAAATGAAATGACAGAATATCTCCTGACATATATAACAGGAATGAAATTGATTAATGGAAAGTACACCTAGTGAAACTCTTGTTACGTTCATGAGTTAAGTTCATACTAGGATTTTCTTTAAATTATTTTTGTTGATATTGCTGAATCTATCATGATTTGATGAACATCCTGGATGAATTTGCGCATTAGGCAAATGTTCATGTAGTAAGTGCAGACAAGGTTGTTGTTTTTTAATTATTTTTGTTTTTATTGTTGAATCTATCATCACGATCTAGTGAACATCCTGGGTGAATTTGCGCATTAGGCAAGCCAGTCCAATGGATTAGGGTGACAAGGGAAACAATCGGCCTGATTATGGAGCTCTTAGTAGAAGCCAAGTTATTTTAGGACCCAGCAGCAATCTTTGCTGCTGTCCGTTACACACTGCATAGCTATTAGTGCACCGGGTCGTCCGAGTCGCTTGCTCCTTCGGTTGGATCCTCTGCGCCTGGCTTCCGAAGCGGTTGCAGGCACAGGAAAGGAGCGAGAGGAAGCCTGTTTCCTCCCCATCCCAAAGAGCAGCTTTCCTTGCAGAGGGGCGCTCGCGACGGTACATTGCTGGCAAGGAAACCTGCCTGGCCCGGGTCAGGGCCGCCGGCTGGGTCGTGCATGCGCCTGCGCGGGCGCGCCACTGCCTAGGGCGAAAGCGGGACTTGGATAGCTCTGGCTGGGGTCTTTCCTCTACTTGACGCGCCAAAGCACAAAACGCCTCATCGGGCTCGCCTTCTCCCGCCGTTATCTTAGCGCGGTGCAGCAGCCGGCCGAGATTCGGGCTAGAATTCGGGCCCTCCCTCGGGGGCGGGGCCACGGAAAGACCGCGGCGTCCCCACCTCCTTTCTCGGTAGCTCCAAGGAGAGGACGGGATTACTGCACGGGGACGCCGCCAGCTGCATCTCCTCCGCTTCGGGCTTCAAAACTGGATGGAAGCCGCCCGGGGGCTTGGCGGAGCCTCAGCGGCTGATAACGGGAATCCCTCAGCTGCTGCTGCTGCTGCTCGTGTCCAGTTCTTGCGGCTGCCCGCGGGCTGCGAGATGCTGAGCTGCGGCTCCAAGAAAGCGCTCGGGGCCCCCGCTTCGGTGCTCGCGCGCGCGTGAATCCAGAGGACGACCTGCCGCCCTCCTGATGGACACGGAGTCCCGGGTACAGCTCAGGGCTGCTGCTGCTGCTGCTGAATCTCGGGGGAAGGGTCGTGTGAACGCCGAGTCGCAGAGGGACCCAACGCTGCTGCCGCCGCCGTTGTATGGGTGGAATGCTGAGCGGGCTACCCGCTCCGGGTCGCCTCGGTGGGCAGGGGGCTTAAGAGGTGGCTTTTAGGGTGTTCTTTAAAAATTATTCTGATTATCCCGAGTTTCATTTGGAAAGCCGAACGGGTGGGGTGGGGTGGGGGGGTTGCAGGCGACCAAAGCCCGTCCATGGCCAACCCGCGGCGGAGCATTGAGCTGGAGCATTTCGAGGAGCGAGACAAAAGGCAGCAGCGCTCGAGCTCCCGCCGGGGAGGGGGCAGCTCCACTTGTAGCAGCAGCTCGGGGCCCAAAGGCAACGGGCTCATCCCCAGCCCCGCGCACAGCGCCCACTGCAGCTTCTACCGCACGCGCACCCTCCAGGCCCTCAGCTCGGAGAAGAAAGCCAAAAAGGCGCGCTTCTACCGCAACGGGGACAAGTACTTCAAGGGCTTGGTCTACCCCATTTCCAGCGACCGCTTCCGCTCCTTCGACGCCCTGCTGGTCGAGCTCACCAGGTCCCTGTCCGACAACGTCAACCTGCCCCAGGGCGTCCGGGCCATCTACAGCATCGATGGCAGCCGAAAGCTCTCCAGCCTCGACGAACTGGTGGATGGTAAGGAAAGCCTACGCCTTAGTTGGCTGTATTTCGGTCCTCGGGCATGAGCGCTGAGCTCGGGGGGAGCCGCTGTGTGGTGGGCGTGTTTAGCGGTGTAGCCGAAGCGGCTATCGAGGGCGTTTTCGCAAGTGGGATTCGCACAGATCTGTTCATATTACCCACAATTCTTAGATGATGTCACCCTGTTTCAGCTGATTCGCACCGCTTAGTAAATCAGGCTGCTCTAACTGGGAACATCCGTGCATATGTGTAGACACTACCATGGTTTCCAATGAAGAAAATGCGCTATTTTATTGGGCAGGGGAATCTTTGAAGGTTGAAGTTGTGGGTATTGGCAAGCTGCTGTGGCACTGGGCTGTTCTAAAATGTGGATTGGTTTTTGTTTAAAACATGATTTAGCGTTGCCAGCTGCCTGTAAATAGCTTGAGACAGGATTAAAAAAAATACCCTGAGTGATGTTGTGATAAAAATTCACTTTCTGAGATTGGTTATTGTACAGAGAAATGATAATAGACTATATAACAGCTAATGCATACAATTGACAATTTCTGGGTTTATTTTCATATCCCTGTTTTGTGGTTGAAAAAAAATGACTGTTATCAGATGCTATTTTAAAGATTGAAATGATTAAACTTTCCAGGTATCTTCCATGAACAAGTATAATCAAAATAAATATATTTTAAAAATCTATTGGCTCAATGAAATACTGATACTATATGAGGCCTCCAGCATTATTTTTGAAACATATAATTTGATTTTTGAATGAAACAGGTAACTTAGTTTTCTAGAACTTTCTGCTTACTTGTTACTTCACATCACTCAATGTCCATAATAATTCACAGAGATATTGTAACGATTAGGTTTACATACTTGTGTTTTTGAAATATCAGTTTGACATCCATATATCCCTGTTACAATACATTAGATCAGAGGTGTCAAACTCTCAACGTCACGTGACATGTTACGACGTATCGCGACTTTTTTGCCATTGCCAGCAATGGGGTGGGCACAGTTTCGGTATGATGCATCTGGCCCGTGGGCCGGCAGTTTGACACCCCTGCATTAGATGAATTTTTAGATTTTTCTCTTTTTTATGAGTATATATGTTTTTGCTGATTGCATGACATGAATCTATTCTATACTGTTGAATGATTTGCACCTTTATCTTAATGTACAACAGTGGTTCACAACCTTTTCTTCACCACAGGCCCCCTTTAAATACCTTTTGTGGCCACAGACCATGGCCACGGATGCCCAAGACTTAACTCAAGATTTAAATCATAACATTTCTTCAAGCCTTCACGGACCCCCTGTGACAACATTGTCATGGACCCACAGGTTGAGAACCACTGGTGTACAGGATTGCTTGGCTGATAACTTATAATTTCATCTACACAATACCTCAGTACAAAGTGTTAAGTGCTATCACATTCAGAATCACATGGACAAACTCCAGTTAGAATTGTTTATTCAAATAAGCAGTTTCTTGTCTAATTCCTGTTCCCAAAGATATTATGTAGGGCCACCTGTCAGTGTGACCTACTTTAGTGATTCAAATGAATGGAGAGCATTATCCCTGTAATTCTATTACCTGCTGGGGAAGTGATAAACTTTAGAATTGAAGATAACTAAGCAACTAGTCTGAGTAAATATGGATGAAATTGTACTTATAAATTGATAAGAATAACAATCTGATTTTTTTCTTAATGAAAAAAAAGATGTGTATTCAATTCCTGCATTCCAGTTTCAATCGCAAAACATTTCATCTGAGACATCATTTTGTAAACATTTAATACCAATTTAAACATATATAATTATAGAACTCTGAGAAAACAAATTTAAAAATCAAAATCAATTAAAACAAAATGAATATGAATTAAGGTATGTTTAGGTAGAGAATCCAGAACTGATCTGCAAGAATTGAGTAGTTTTTTTTTCTTAAATGCTATTTTATATTTACATTTTTTTTTTAAAAAAAGAAGCTGTATGAAAATGTATAATCCTCAGTACAGATACTTGATGTTTATTTAGGTGTGTTTAAATAATCTGGAGCCTTAATCTAACTTCTTCGGGCTGTAAAGTTGTACATTTCCTGATAGGGGTCTGGAGGAAAGAAACATCTGTCTACTGATATTGTTTTCCCACTTCTACTTTATAAATACTGTACTGTACAGTTGCAGTGTATTATCTAGATATCGCATATTAAGTGGTGTCTTAACAACTAATACCTTTATGTAGCCAAAGCTTGTGGTTTCACATGACACCAGCAAGATAAAGTAAAATAGCAATGATGGCAGCTTTACCATATCTGCTGGTATAATAATCTTAAACAGGTTTGTAATTATATTTATCATGTTTACCAATTTTGGAGGGCAAGGAGTGCAGTTGATAGATTGATTACATAATCTGCATAATCAAGCTGAAATTGACTGCTCTGTTTTACACTTGATCTCAGCCAAAACGCTGAGAAGGGGTACTCTCTTTTAAAACTTGCATGATTGTTTCCAAATGCTTCCTTCTTCAAATAGAAGGAAATGATTTAATCAACCTTTGGTCATCATTTAGACTGAAAACTGCAGGTAGTCTTCAATTTATGACCACAGTTCACCCCAGAATTTTGATTGCAAGCCGTTGTGATTGTAAGTCGAGTTATCATGTGATCAGATTCGATTTTACCACTGTTTTTATGATGGATGTTAAGTTAATCACTGCAGCTGTTAGTGAATCACATGATTGTAAGTCTAAAACTACCCTTTCAATGGATGTTTTAGCTGGAAAAATGTCGCAAAATAGGTTCACTTGACTGTAAGATGCTGCAACCACTCGTATATGTGAGCCGGTCACCAAGTGCTCAAAATGCAATCACCTGACTACAGGGGTGATATGGCAGATAAGTCATATTGTGATTGTATTATTGCCTGTTCACCGCCCTGAGTCCCGTAAGGGAGATAGGGCGGTATATAAATTTAAATAATAAAATAAATAATAATAAATAAGTTGTAAGTAACTTTTTTCAAGTCCATCATAACTTCAAACATTTATTAAGCAATCTTGTATGGTCAAAAAGATTGCTTGTGTGGTCAAAGAGACTCCTGAGGAGTACAAAAGAGTTTTGGTCATCACAGATTGTCAGTTCTGTACCTGTTTAAAAAAGCTTGTAGAGTTCAGTAGTGGAATGGGTTCAACCCTGTCATGTCTGGCTAAGGCCAGAGAACTGCTTCTGAAAATCTCTGAAAATTATTATACCTGTTTTTACTGGACTAAATGGATTAATGGACCATTTTAGGAAATATATTTCTAAGTTTTAGAATTCTACAATTGGCTTTTTATAAAACTGTTTTCTTAGAATTATTGCTTAGCAGTTATAAGGGCACACTATAAAATATACTAATTTTATTTCATATTGTTGTAGTCTTGGAAATCAGTCAAAAAAGATAGTTTGGAAACAATAGTGGTTTTAAAAAGTTACTGCTAAATAAAAAGAAATTTAGTTGCTACATTAATTGATCACAAACTCTTAAAGATTGTAGCAACTTAAAGATTAACAACCTTATTATGATGTACAGTGTCTGTTATATCAGAAGCCTAAAACAAAATTATGTGTTACAAATGTATCTATGATTTGAGAGAGAGAAATGCCAGACAATGAGGCAGCTATCTTATTATGTGACCATTTAGGAAACTGATAATAATATAGATATGTACTGGTGAACTGAGATTGTGTGTGTGTGTGTGTGTGTGTGTGTGTGTGTGTGTGTGCATGTTTATAAAAAGAAGTCCTTTGTCATAAGTCATTTCTACAGTAATTTTTTTTGTTTCATTGTTACTTATTTCTTTCATAATGAAATCTTGCCCTTGCTGTGCCTTTGTTAAAAAATGGGTATTTTAAAGTTAACGACAGACCCTCTAGCTTTTTGAATGTAGCCATATTTTTGTTTGGATTTAGTTTCTTTTTTACAAAAAGAATAATAAACTATTACCAGCAAAGGATGGCATTAATACCAATGGGACAAGAAAATCTCACAGAGCTGCTAGTATATATATTTATTATTATTGAGTAATTTGAGTCACAGTCTAAGAATGGTGAAAATTTAGTAATTCAAAAATTATTAAGGTAGCTCCTAAGAATAGCAATAGCACTCAGACTTATATACCGCTCCATAGTGCTTTACAGCTCTCTCTAAATACTTTACAGAATCGGCATATTGCCCCCAACAATCTAGGTCATCATTTTGTAATGTAGGATGTAGAAAGTTCCAAGAATGTAGAAAGTTCCAAGCAAAGTGGGTTTTTAAAAAAATAAATAAATAAATTAGGGTGTTCAGGTAGAATAAAGTTAATATTCCCAAATATAGAGTCCTTTAGGTATTGCTCTGAAGGCTCCAATTATGGTTGATAATAACAATGGATTCCTTTTTCCATAAATGCTCAATTTTGATCTGCATGTCCCAGGATATGGTATTATTACAAGCAGAAATATGAATTCATAATTCTATAAATTGTATGTTTAGGCCCTGTAATAAATTGTCATAGATGACATTAAGGCGGAGCTGGCACCTTCAGTCAGATTTAGTTTCTTCCGGCCTGGAATGCGTTCTCTTGGATCAGAATGTGGGTTCTACCAAGTTGTAGATATCTGTGCTATAGACCAGCAGCCCCCAACCTTTTGGGCACCAGGGACCGGTTCCGTGGAGAAAGATTTTTCCACAGACTGGAGGGGGTGTGGTTTCGTGTGCTGCTTGCATCCCGTAGATGGGGTTTCACTTGTTTGCATGGCCCGGTTTCTGGCATGCTACGGACCGGTGCTGGTCCACGGGCGGGGGGTTGGGGATCCCTGCTGTAGACTGCAGACTTGGTGGTATCTCAGTGGCAGCTGGACACACACACTTTTTTGGGTAATAGATAATAAATGTTTTTGTATCCAATATTAGTTCTAAAGAAAGATTCAGTAAAGAGAGTGTAGATTCTACTTTCAGATTAATAGTGAAATAAAAATG